GCCATGCACCAAGATAACTTATGACACAACATGCTAACTCAACCATACCACATCTCCAGCCCCTCTTCTTTTAGCTGCTTGCCAGGGGCACTCCAGCCCTCTCAGGGACAAGTTAATAAATCATTCACCACAGGAATCCTCTGAGTATAGACTAGCCCCAACCCAATGGCATTAGGGAGTGTGAAAGGCACTGCATTTGAAAAGGGGAATACTGGCCCCGCACTTCCTCATTTGAAACAGCAGGCTCCTACCTTGAGTACCAATGTAAGCATTCCTTTGCTTGTAGCCATCCATAAAGCTAGCATTGATGTAGTCTGTCAGCTGGTGAGAGAAAAGTGCATACAAATGTTACCCCTGTGAAGCAGAGCAAACCGGAGAATTCGTGTCCCAGTGTAGGGGAAAGTGGTTATCAACCCTGCAGTAAGCAACCACAAAGACAAAGCCATGAGATAGGACTTGATGATGGCTTGGTACTATGGATTCCCCTGATCTCCAAACTCCATTTGCTACCACTGACCTAGGTACTGGAGACAGCTCAGGTGTGCAGCAGTATTTAAAAAAAAACAAAACAAAAAAAAGACACACACCCACAAACACACAAAGCTTTGACACAGAGCACAGCTCTGAGCCACTGAACAGCTGTCAGCTATCCAGCAACCTTACTGATAAAACACAGGTCATGTTCACTCAGTACAGCAATGCCAGGGGACCAACACCAACTCCCACCAGGTTAGCTTCAATTCAGGCAAGTGCTACTCCCACAGAGAAATCACTGAGGTACATGGGGAAGGCATGGAGGGGAAATGGAGAGCTAGCTGACCACTGAGCACAAGCAGAGAGACAACACAGTAACAGAGACAGGACAAAATGGGATGGATCCAAAATCCAGCTATGCTGAGCACCAGGAGACTCTGATGAGTAACTCAGCAGAATGTGTCAAGACTGAAAGGATTCAGAAGAGAGGCCCCAAACCCTTTCCCTCCCCAAGATTCTCCATGAAAATGGCATCCTCTCTACCTCTTGTAGTAACCCAGAAGGCTTTTCAGGTGGGGACAGGATCTCTTCACTCCCTTCCTCCCAGTGAAAACACTGGAAGCTCAAAGGAAATGGGAGATTCTTTTATCTGCAAGGACCATAGTTCAGCGTTCTGCATTTCTCTTGCATCAGATGAAGACTTCAAAGTAGTGCCTATGGCACTGCTTCCCCCACAATGATTCGGGGGTCAATTATATAATCAATCCCCAAAACACCAGTCCTAACAGTGAGTGAGGAAGGGGGCTCACTCTGGCTCTTTTGTTTGAAAATCCATGTCCCTGTAGTGACTCTGAGGCCCCACTCCCTCCCCAGTGCTGTGGTCATGTTCAGAGACCTCAAAGCCAAACTGTGTTTCAACAAGCTTTGCACTTCCCCTTTTACAGGCAACCCAGAGCATTGGGCTTGGCTAGGCACTCTCAGGGCTCACCCTAACAGCAATCATCTCTCATCAGGGAGAAAGTAAGTGGAAAATTTGGAAACTTCTGGCTGGCAGCCATCCTATTGCTGAAAACTGACCGTTTGTGAGGCTGTCTGTCTGTTGGGGACCACTGTTCAGAGTAAAAGTTCCCTGTTGCTCTCTGAGAAGACTCTGATATGTAGTGCTGGGCCTGAAGCTGATGTAAATCTGTGTGACCACAGTGACCGCGCTGGAGCTCTGCTGATTTATACCAGCATGAGGACTCAGCTCTGAAGGTTTAACAGCTAAATTCTTTTGAGTGCTGAAGCAGAGTGGACCCCTCCCCTGTCCCAGGTGTGGGCCATATCTTACTTCTACCTCTGCTCAATATGGCCAGGGCTGTCAGGATCCCTTGTTCCCTTGACCCTATCCAACTTACATGCTCTTCAGGAATGTGGCTTCCTCAGGGGGTGTTCAAGCAATTACTGCACTTAATTCCAGAGTTTCAAATGCACCACAGTGAAGACAAGCCTGCCTAGTGGTCTACCATGGAGCAGATCACCACTATGTAGGAGATGTGGGTTTGAGACTCTACTTCTACATATCACAGGCCAGCAAAGAATTAGGTGTGTCCCAACTCTTGAGAAGCTTTTCCCCGCTCCATCAACTGCACTGGTATGAGGCTTTGCACGTAGCTTCTACACATAGTGCAGGAGACAAAGGGACCTAGTGACAAAGATAGAGCAACGTCTAAAGATGTTCTTGCTAAGAGCTGGAATGTTCCCCAGGGCCAGGAAAGAGTAGTACCAGTGGAGGGACTTGCCAGCCTTCTGCAAACACCTGTTCTCTGGAGAATCACAACCTCCATCATCTGTGCTGTCCCAGAGATGAAACCCTGAGGTGGAACTGTGGCCGTGCATAAAAGCCAGAGGCAGGTGGTGGCTGGTCTTCAACCAGGGGGTTATCAACCAAAAGCCCTCAGCAGAGCTTTCAGAACAATCTGTTGGGCCATACAAGACAGATCCTTCAGGGCTATGGGCCAGGAATTACATGTAGGCCATGCAGGCATGTTTCAATATGTGAATTCCACCCCTCTGGGGAGGGGAAGGGACCCACTTGGAACCCAGAAGAGTTGAGTGGAAGTGGCCTCAGCCTGCTCACCTCCGGGCGACTGAACTGCTTGGTCAGCTTCACTCGGGTTTGGTCCAGGCATGGCACATCACCATATCGATTCTTCTCCTGGTTATACGGAGCCCTGTAGGGGCAGAGAATGGGTAGGACAAGCCAAAATAGAGATGGTAAGCACAGCTGCACACAGCTATAGGTCACATTTTCAGCTCTGAGTTTGGGCTCTGCTGTCATCATAGGCAGGGCTTTCCTCACCCGGAGAAAGGCCATACTCCTGAGAACATGGTTAAAGCCAAAGTAGCACCCAGTTCTCATCTCCGGCTAGTTTTCTTGTGATAGTTTCTCCTCCCATGTGCTCTTGGATGGCACCAAAAGGGTTTTGAGAGTCCAAAATCCACTAGTGAAGCCAGTCTAGGCCCTACAGGGCAGCCTACATTGAGAACTATCCACCCTTGATACACCTTTACTGAACCTACCACGTGGAGGGGTTGCCTATTCTCAATCGCTACTTCAAATGGTAAAGAAGATCTCTAGGAAGAGGCTGGCCCAGTGACAACCAGGTTTGTTTTGTCCCTCCGAAGCCACCCAGACATGGACACATGAGGAGAAAATCCTGATCCCAGAAGTCCCCTCTCTAACCTCATTCCATCATTCTGCATCTATCACTGCTCAGCTTTCCATGCAAGGAAAAGGTCAGAGCAGATGCCACTCGGATGAGGCGGCGAGGGAAGCTGGGAGAGCAGGGGAGAGTGGAAGAGCCAGACCCTTTCTCTTTGACAAAGGGATGATTTCCACAGGAACCCAGTGGTGCCTCTGAGCTCCCAGACAGCCATCCCCATGCCTAACTGCACCATAAATGCTTCCTCCTCACACTTACAAGGAGCAGATGAAGGTCCCTGCAGGGCTTCTACGCCGGATGTCCTCATACTCCTCATAGATTCCCCGTTTTTGCTTTCGGTTCACATGGTCCATCAGTTCCTGAACAGTCACGGACTTTGGTCCTGGAACATGCACTGAGCCATTGTCCTTGGGGGAAACCAGCGGCACTAAGATGAGCTCATCCAGAGGGTCTGGGTGGCCATTCTGCTGGGGTAGGAACCGACAGTTCCAGCTGAGAGGGTCCAGCCTGAGGGATCCACCCAGGTATTCAGGGAGGCACTCCCTGGGTAGGTGCTCCTTCAGCTCTGACATCTTCACCATCTGCACCTGGAGGTGAAGGGAGAGAGGCATGGGCAAAGCCTGTATGCATCAGGAGGGAAAAAGATGGGGGTTTGCTTGAAGCAGTGCCTGTCTGGGATGAGTCTTATATTGCCTGGCTATAAGAAAGAGTGGTAGTTAGCAGTGTTAGTCTGAGCTCACCTGGAAGTTCTTGAAGCCACTACAGGGGCTGGAAATGTCCTCAAAGCACCTTTGAATAGCTCCTTTACTTCCCTTGATTAGAAATCAGTTTTTACCACTGAACAGAGCTGTTCTGAAACAATCCAGAAGAGGGAGTCTGCCTACCTCTGCCTGAACAGAGAAGAGAAATTGGGCTGAAGCTGTCCAGAGAGACAGCTTTTCTGCAAGAGTGAAGACTTACAGCCAGTAAAAGACTCACTTCAGGGGGATGCTCTTCATGCCAGCCCCCAGGCAGATCTGGGAGGCATGTATGATTACACAGAGTCACACATTAAAGTCACTTCATTATAGGAGGTGAAGGGAAGCATTTAACTACAAAGGCAGGGTTCCACCAGCCGCGATGTCAGGATACTACGAGGTTCCTAGGTAAGACTCCTTTCTATGTGCATAGATGTTAGGTGTTAGATTCATAGATGTTAGGGTCGGAAGGGACCTCAATAGATCATCAAGTCCAACCCCCTGCATAGGCAGTTAAGAACATCTTTGTCACAGCCCCAAAATTTTGCTGGATATTCCAGAAAAGCAGCCCTACAACATTTGAACTCCATCTAAAAGAGTCTATGACACTCTGGGTGCTGTATTTAGAAAAGATAGTAAATCTTTAAGTTCCTCCATTCCTCTGAACAGCTGCTTGAATGCAATATCCTGACTATGATATCCTGTTTGCTGATTCCAGGGCAATCAAAACTGTCCTTATTATTCACTAAATAAGAAATGGATTAAGACTCTAAGTGGTTAAAAGAATTCTCAGGCAAGACTAGAAATTGCAAGTGAACAGAAGATGAGGGTTTTTTTAAATTAGTTTATTGGCCAGTGCCCAAGATCCAGCTGCTGAACAAGCTGACACTATTCACAACCCTTTCTGGTAAACCAAAGCAGGATGCTGCATTCCTTACAAAGCTTTTGATGATGTTATATGAATGCCCCAAACCACTGGAAGGAATGCAGCTCCCTGTTCTGCCTTCTGGCTACAGTGATATTAGGCACTAGAGGAAGACCTAAGAGAGACAGAAGGTGTGTGGGGTACAATCCACCCTTGCAAGAATACACAGGACCTGGCTCTTGAGACTTCGTATTTGGTGTGTTCAGGATAACACTGAGGCCACTCTGCTGCTCCCAAAGTCAGGACTGGGCCCCTTAATTTAAGGCTGCCTGAGAGCTCTTTTTAGTTTCAGAGCAGTAACATGTGGGTGTGTTCACTGACTTCAATGAGACTATTCACATGCTTAAAATTAGGCATGGGTTTAAGTGCTTTGCTTGGCAGGGACCTTAAAAACAGGAGCCCCTCCCACACTTGTGAAAAGAGCACTTAACTTCCGTTTAACATTAATCATTCACTCCTTTTCCCTTTAATTTGCAGCTTCCAGCAATAACATCAAAGGAAGAGATTAGAGGTGGGATAGCCAAAAGGGTACAGGCATTGCCTGAAAGCTCCTCCCATGCAGCTGTACAGGACACCAAGATGCTCAAGGGCAATCTGCCAAGGGCCACAGAGACTATTGACTACTTCCTATGGTTCTGTTCCTTCACCAAGGAGGTGTGGAAAAAGGTAAAGGGGCTCTGCAAAGCAGTGACAGGCAGTGGACCAAAGGGGTGGCGCTGTATGGGCACCTAACTAAACACCAAGGAAGCCCATCAGCTGGTTTCAACTAGTTTGTGTTGTGTGTCAGGAGTGCCCTGTGGAAATCCAGGATCCTCCTGATGTACAGCCACATGCACCTCGAAGTACTACACTGTATTAAAATGACTGAGCAAACTCCAGTTCTACTACCGGAAATTGGTAGCAGAGGACAGTGAGGATGCAGCCAGCTCCACCTGGCAAAGGAACACCTGGCACAGGTTCTTCCAAGACCTGTCCAGAGGAGGAACAGACAATGACAGTGAAGAGGATGATGAGACAATCTGACTTGGGGACAGCGACAAGGACAGCAGCAGCGGATCCTCCCATGGGAGAGATGGTGACAGAAAATGAACGGAGACTTTAAACCCCTTAATCAGGGTGTGGACTAAGGGACAGTGTGATCTGGGTAGGGAGGCTGGCGGGCAGTTGCATGGGTCCACAAGTGCATGTATTGTAACACATTTATGGGTTTTGTTTTGTGAGTTAAGGTATGAGAAGAAAAGCTTGCTAGAAGGTGTACATATGTGTGCATGCACGTCTGTACATATACACGCACACAGACAGACATTGTTTTAGGGGAAAAAAAAAATCTGTACAGGACCTAACACAATGAGGCCCTGACCACCAGCCAGGGGCACTACAATCAAACAAACAGATTCAGAAATAAGGAGAGATTTAGGTTGAAGATTTAGGCCCAGTCAAGCCCCAGTACCTTTGCCAGCAAGAAACATGCTGATGGACAGAATAATGGAGGGCCACACTGACCACTGGCACATGGGTGAATGTGGGTTATGTGGGCACTGGGGTACACATGGGCTCATGCTTTTGAAAGTTCAACTGCTGGTTCGTTTTAAGCTCCCCTGGGCTAAGTCCACCTCCGTGATGGAGTGGCACAACTCTACTGACAGCAACTGAGGGACATCTATTTGCATCCAGGCTATATTCACCCCTTTGCCCTGGCAGCCCTGCAGCCTTCCTAGATGTAGAACCCTCCACCTGGCCTCACTGGAATGGTGGCTAAGAAGCTACGAGAAGGCTTACAGCACAGGCAGCAGCAAAGCCAAGAGGTCTCGTCTCTCTCATGCAAGATCCTGCTTCCACGCAGATACAAGCAATTCCTCAGACCTAGGGCTCTCTTATGTGTGCCAGCAGTCTGGAGCCTGGATTCCTTCCAAGTCTGGACCAGGCTGAGGTGCCTTGTGCTACTCA